CATTTCACACTATTGAAACCGCTGATAACTACCACTAGTTGGTATGAAAAATGTTAATGTATCAGCGATTAGTTTGAATATTCGAAAATCAAATTTGAGTAAGTGAACGTGAAGAAATACATTTTTTGTGGTTACAACAATTACTGAAATTTGGTATAATTTGTAAAATATCAGTTTTCCGTATAATATACCTCTGATAAAAAATGTAGTGAAATGAAACATTTCATTCAAATGAAAAAATACAGGATGCTCCATTCGAAAAAGTTGAATTATATCTGTTTGAAAATGAATGAGACCGATTTTACCGAGCACCCTATACATTGGAATTGAATGATGTATTTATATATTGGGTGTTCTATTTAAAAACATAAAACTATTTTTAAAAGATAGTATTCATCGATATGACTGCAATGATAGCAATGGGCCGAGGGAATCTTTTTGACTCTCCCTGATATCTTGGTCGCTACACTCCTTGATCCGAAAATCTCTTCAAAGGAAGGTGGTGACACAAAAATACCCATACTTTGTATTCTACAAGGCGCAAACAGGTAAACACCATGAACTTGCTGATATTTGAACTCTTTCTCCTCCGTATTCTGACAAAGAAATAAAGAGAGATAAGGTGTCTGAATGGAACTTTTCAAATGTAAATTCTTTCCCTAGAATCGAATTCACAGAAACCGTTCAGTATCAAACGAAGCTATCGGAAGTTTTCTCGTATATTACCTTGTCTTTTATTCCCACTGACAATAGACGCTGCGTGAAGTATAACTTTGGGAACACTTGCTTTGTCATAGCGAGTTTTGAACTAAATGAAATAACTTTCTTATTAGTCAGTGGGCTATGCTTGAAGACTGGCAGTAAACAATTCTAAAGAAATGAACTTTAAACGTTCAAGCCAGTCTCAGATATACCTACACAGTAGGATAAATGGACTGAAGGCTATCAGAAAACAACGCCCTTCGTGGTATTAGCCAGGGGAGTAGTTGTTTTTTGATAGGCGTCAGTCCATTCAAGCTACTATGTAGGTATATTCGAGACTGGCTTGAACGTTTAAAGTTCATTTCTTTAGAAAAAATGAAATTAAGTGTAATTCAGGATTTCTGTCAGTAGAATAAAGTGATTTTGCGTGACATGCTCAAACATCCAACATTACTGCACAAATATAATCAAAATAGATGATAATTTATTCACATACTATCAATCTCTAAAGTGTGTGCTACCAAAAGAGAAACAGTACTCAATACATTTTTTGGAAAGGAAAAGCATAAACAGCTCGAGTTTCAATTCGAAGGTACATATTTATACCATAATTACAACTCTGATACCTTTCTTCTTGCTCCGTGGTGACTTTAACTCTCAGAATTTCTATAGAAAAAGTATTGAGTGTGTTTTTGAAGGAAAACAATCCATCTATGTGGCTGTTTACTACGAAACTAATCACTTAAATGAAATGAATAAAAAACACTTTCGTCTAAATACCACTATTAGATTTTATTTATACGACCGGTTTCGGGTTTGACCCCACAATCAAGTATAAAACTGAAATCTGAAGTTTGGAATATCGTTTATATTAGACTTTCCAGGTATGCTGCAAGGACAGGTATTTGAGAGACAGGTAGTTGGGCGAACCAAGATGCCAACTTTTGAAATTCCACTCTGAAAATTCTAGGGGATGTTAAACTCCTCTACTGCATATCTACAATATAAAACAAACCTTCATAAAAAATTTCAGCCTCCGAAAATTTAGCGGTGCGGAAAAAAAGGTAATTTTAATATAAACGCACCCCTTTCACCTCGACGGGGGAGGCCCCACTTGGAATATTCGAAAATTCTCTCTTAGGGTGTCTAAGAAGACCCAGACCTGAGGAGCACCTATATATCAAATCTTAGCTTCCTAGGACTCACCAGTACGGAGAAACAGAGATGAATGAGTGTTAAGTGGGTAACTTTCTCATTTACAAGTACGGATACGATTCTTTTCCGTGAGCAATTTTTCTCTCTCACACATTAGAAACTTGTTGTGATCTGTTATAAATGACTTTGGACCTGTGTCATTTCTCTGTTGGTTTAAAAGTAACGAATTATCATTTTTCCTAGTCTCTAATCAATATATGAATAGATTTGGGGAGCTGAATACACTTATTGAATGAATGAATCGAAGGGTTTTTGTATAAAAAACAAATTTTAATTGCAAAGCACTTTCGAACTGTCGTCATTACAGTGCTCACCTCAATTTATTTTCAAAATATATAATTCTTCTTCACAACACAAAAAAAAATTGACATCTATAATGGATCACGCCTCAAGTGGGTACTACTATTTTCAACATGACATTTGACTTGACACTTTCCGTCGCAAGTTGCCCTCCATTCATTTCATACTTTCACCGAACCACAATCCTCAATCTCTAACATGTATTTCGTTGGTTATCAGGCTAATTAGTTTTATACAAATCAAATCTCACAAATGTACTATGTCCTCGTTTTCAATACTTCCTCTTGCCTGACAAGTGGCTAATCATCAATATTTTTACATAAATTCGAAATTAAAAAAGATCAATTTTCACAAAAAACTAACTTTGCAATTGGATCACTTCCTTTTAGATCAGCACTGATGTTGACGAAAGTCGAAAGTGCTTTGCAATAAGAATTTATAATAATGCAGTGTAGAATTTTGTATTAATTCGTATGTATTGTACTTTTCTATATTTGTATAGCAAATGAAATGAATAGATGCCTAGTTGATCTATTACACTAATTTAATTGTGGAAAATGAGTCGACACAACTTAACTATATGAAATGCACCTATCGAATGACGAAATTGGCTAGGATAGGACTAGTGGATACATCTGTTTTTGAATAAACAACATTAGGGGGTGAAGCAGACGTGTAACAAGAATTTTGAGATATGCAGAAACATACACTTTTATACAAAAATTCTTCGACTCATTCTAATTAATACACCAATACATATATCCGCAGACAGTTATCCACATGCAGAACAGCCAAGGTCGTTGTGTAGAGGATTGAAATACTTTTCGAGCGAAGTTCCACTGTGTTTGAAAATGAGACGATAGCATTCATAGAAGATGAATAATTTTTATGTAAATTTGTCAGACTTTGATGTCTTTTTCCGTTCAAAAGTTAACAAGAGGGGGGGAATATTCACCGTTTGTTTGAAGGTCGTTGACATCAGTGACATGGGGAGTGCCAATGGGATGGCCACTTTCACCGGTTATAGCCAATATATATATGGAGTGGTTTGAAACTTTGGCCTTTGAAGATGCCCACAAGAAGTTTCGAGTCTGGTTGAAATACGTAAACCATACCTTCATGATATGGAACCATGGGAAGCAAAACTAGAAAATTTCCTGAAGCACATCAACAACGTAAGTCCTTCCATCACTTCCACAATGAAAGTCCACAACGAACTGTCATTCTTAGACGTATTGGTGAAGAGGACCGACACTAAATGGAAAACATCTGTATATCGAAAACCCACTCACCCTCTGAACCAGGAATCCAACCACCATCAATCGACAAGACTGTATTAGACCGTGCCTTCGGGCTCTGCAATATAAAAGAAGGTCTCGAAAGCAACTAGGCATCATCAAAAATAACCTTCAATGGAATGGTTACTTCAAATTGATGGTGGAACAGGCTTTGGCTAGAAGACAGCAAGAGCTCCAAAAGGAAAAAAAACCGCCACAACCAGTACTTGTACCTCCCCACATCAAAGGATTGACGAAAAGGATAAGAAGGATTGGGTCCCAGTATAACATCAGAACCTGCTTCACATCTGGGAACACTATCCGTAGCAATCTCAAGAAAACCAGGCCACCAAACGCGGACTGCGATTCCAAGAATTGCATTTACCGAATACCCCGCGAGTGCGGGAAATCGTACATCGGTGAAACTGAGAGGCAATTGAAAGTTCGCATTGCCAAGCACAAAAAACACACACAGCGAGGAGAAACTAGCAAATCCGGAATAGCAGAGCATGTTTGTACTCTTCAACATAACATCAAGTGGGATCAAGCTGAAATTATCCACAAGGAGGAACACTGGTTTAGGAAAAAATTCAAAGGAAGCCGCATATATGTTGTACAACAACGCATTTAGTCAAGCTAGCGTAAAGATACGTAACATATGGAAACCTGTAATGAAGCGAAAAACGACCAACTCCCGCCAAACTGTCAGCTCCCGTTAAAAACCAATGAAGTGGAGAGGGGGAAGGGGTGATAGGTGAAAGCAGTCGAATGACCTATAAATAGTGAGATCTCGAAGGAATAAGGTCAGTTATCACCCGAAGATGATTGTGGATACTAACAATCGAAACCTCGTGAAGTAACTTGGTTTGAATTCTTATTTTATATTTTTAATTTTCATTTTTTGTTAATAATTTTTTCAGCTCGTGTTAATTTTTTTGGTTTGTTTGGTTGTTGGTTGTATGTTATTTCATTGTAATATCAGTTTTTTGCTTGATAAAATTGTGTTTTCTGCTAATCTTTTTAATTTTCCACAGATTCTTTCCGGGATTTCAAATCAATTTATAACTTATTGGACAATGGAAGTCCGAACTGATGGAATATTCACGTCAGTACTGTATAGTGGAACAATCTCGTTCAAAAGTTGAGAAAAGATGGGGAATATTCACGTCTGCACTGTATAGTGAAGCAATTTAGCATTCTCAATTTCAATACATAACAAATACATTCAGAACTTATCTCCGCTTTTAGGAACTGATCCTTTGTTTCTGCCAAATATTTCATCGGCTGTTGTTTATTCTGGCATCTTCGGCTTTCAACGTACTAAATTAACTTCCTGTCTCGAACAAAGTTCAGCTTTCTTCTAGGTCAGTCGCTGCCCCTCCCCGTTCTAATTCTCTGCGAAATCCGAGTACTAAAGTAAACTTTTCACCACCAAAGAATATTCAAATATCATACTCCACTTTAAAATTCAAATTAATTGGTCTATAATTCCTCGTTTATTTTCAGGAAGAGACGCGAGAAAACGTAACAATAAGTGAGTTAAGTTTCGTTCCCACGACAGAAGACGATGGAAAATCCATAACGTGCAGAGCTGAAAATCCCAACGTCACCGGGCTCTTCTTGGAGACGTCTTGGAAAATTGACGTTGTTTGTGAGTATACTTCTGGAAATGATATTACTCAAAACTGTAATGATCGTCAATATTGTTATATGAAAATGAGGTAGAAAGAACGTTTGAATGTTTTTTTTTCAACATTCACATAGTATTCCAACTGTTCAGTTGAAAACTAAAAGAAGGGTACTTCATGGATGTGGGGACATAAGACCAAAATAGGTCAACCTAAATTATCAAAACGTGTCTGGAGACTGTATCGAGGGGAGAAAAATACGTACAAGAAAATAAATATTTTCAAATGAAGTTTCGAAACATCTATCTCCCCCAACTAACTACACTGTGAGTTCTGTTAAATGACCGCCAGAAAACAATAATAATAATAATAATTCATTAATTTTCCCATAGATGATAAAACATATAGGAATAGTCACTTATAATCTAAAGATCTAAAAAATAAAAAAATCATTCAATGTATAACTACTCCCTCGCAGGCATTAACCAGAACCTACTGTGTAGGTTTCATTATATAGGGTATTTTATTGAGCGCTTTCTATCTTCAAATTCAAATTGATATCATAGAAATGTTATCTTCTTTTGAAAGACCTATTGATGCCATTATGTGTGGAATAAACATCGTTCAAATTCCCGCCACGGCTATTCTGGGTTGAGCGCATCCGAAACGTCTGATTTTCCATGACTCTGGCGCATAAATTAGACTGAATTGGACTGATGGCATGAGTCATCTTGGCTTTGAGGACAGCTGTTATTTGTGACTCATCCGCATACACTTGCGATTTGAGGAAACTCCGAAAGAAAAAGTCTAACGGAGTCAAATCACACTTAGTAAACACTTGGTAAACAGTTCACATCACCTCCACGTGAGATTAACATGTCCTCAAATCGCTCGTGCAGAATATATATTAACTAGTACTATGTTGCTGTATCGCTGATGTTCCAATGTTTTGACAGAATCAGAATCAACGAACTTAGGCGTGCGCAGCGTTATAGAACACTGCTTTCAGAAAATTGTTCTACAGCGTCATCTAGTGGCGAGTTACGGAGAAATTGATACCTAAAAACCTTCTCTATGAAAAATTACTTATACATATCAAGTTTCATAACGATCGGTTGAGCGATGTGTAAGTTTATCACTTACCAACCAACCAACCAACAAACATCAACTTTTATATATTAGACTATTACTATGTTGCTGTATCGCTGCTGTTCCAAAGTTTTGACAGAATCAGAATGAACGAACTTGGGCGTGCGCAGCGTTATAGAACAGTGCTTTCAAAAATTGTTCTACAGCGCCATCTAGTGGCGGGTTACAGAAAAAAACCTAAAAACCTTCTCTATGAAAAATTACTTGAACATGTCAAGTTTCATCACAATCGGTTGAGCGATGTAGGAGTTTATCACTTACCAACCAACCAACCAACCAACCAACAAACATCCATTTTCATATAGTAGATAATAATAATATGTATGGCAATCGGTACCGGAATGTGCAGACTGACATCTGTTCTTCCACTTAACCCAAAACAGACTACTAAGTGGCAAATCAGAACATACACAAAAAACATTGATTACTTTCAAATGCACCTACGTTACAAGGAATATTAACATTGCCATTGGTTGTATTCTCAAGAATTCGTCCATTCAAGTATGAATTGTTAATAGCACAGGTGAAGGTGGGTAAGTTGTGTGATAATTTCCGTTTTATCTCACTAACTGTTTTCTATCACTTATGTAAGACCTGAACCAGTTCTTACACACTCTTCTAAGGCCATAGCAGTCCAACTTTTGCAAAAGAAGTTCATAATTCATACAATCAGAAGCTTTTGAGAAGTTGCAGAATACTATAGCTGAAAGTTTTGGCATCGTTAATGATAAATGAAATTCATTTTTACCGGATAAAAAAAGAGGGGTGTCACTAATCACACATTCCTATTTGAAATAATCAGAGGATCCATTGCGGAATATGAAAATTCTGTAATGATTCCAAATTCAAAAGCCGTTTCTATCACAAGCTAACTTGGCTGTCATTTCTAGGCGATACGTAGGACGACGTCTTCAAGAGAGCTGATTTTCTCTTGGTTACACACAAGTCTTTTGAGCCTAAACACCGCTAAAACTGAATACGTAACGTTTACTCCCGCAGATAAAGATCAACCTTCCAAAAATAAGCTCACATTACACAAACCTATTTGTCAAACCCCAATTATACGCACAGTTGGTAAGGTAAATAACATCAAATATCTTGGTGTGTATATAGATCAAGATCTACGATAGGACGAACATGTAGACCAGACCGTTTAAAGACTTAGTAAATTATCTTATGAATTCTACCAACTCAGAAATCTCAATTATAAAAAGCTACTAACATTGATATATAACTCACTCGCAGAATAAGTTCTGAGATATTGCATTATAATATGTGGTGGCGTCAGCAAAAGCCTGTTACATAATCTAGAGGTAATGCAAAGTACTATCCTGAAAATCATTTTCAATCGTAAAAAAAAGATACCCCACTGTAGCACTATACAAAGAAGCAGACTTATTTTTTCTCTCTAGGCTATGGATATAAACTACATTCTATTGTAGGTAATATCTTGAATTAGTTGAAAAATCCAACGTCACCTTCTCTTCGACTATTTCTCTCTCTTTCCACTAGTTTTCCTTCCTTCCAACTATTTGTATCATTTGTGTTTACATTGTCAGTAGGAGTTTATGCTTTATTATGCAACAATGATACCTCATATTATAAGTATGTGTTTATGTATGTATATGTGTATATGTGCGTGTATATATGCGTAGGTGTATACGTATGTATATGGGTATATATAATCAACGTTTATGTTGTTTATAGGTTGATACTACAACTCCAGCTCTACTGAAATAAATGCTCGAATAAATTCATCCGTCTATCTTTTTAATTTTAAAATTCTTTTTTTAACATTTTAATCTGTGGAACATATTCATTGACCCAACCTGTATAAAAAGTCATTAGTTGTTTCTCGCATACTTCAAAATTTTCAAAAGAAAATAATATTTTCTTTCTCCCCACGCAATCTCACCTCCCATCAAACTAAAGACCGACAACAAAAAAGACGATAACCTGGCCCGAATCGTTCTACCCTGAAAGCAAGACCCCTTCCTTTGATTCCAGTTCATCATATCGCGAAGGGCATTGTTTACGAAACAGCCGTTCTTAGATGATTTATGTATCTCTGGAAGGTTTTTTGTGACTGCCATCCGATGACAATAGCGTCTCTTGTTTTCAGACCCCCCGATCGTCACGCTGTGTCTTGGGAGCACACTTAACGCTGACGACATCAAGGAAGGCGACGACGTTTACTTCGAATGCCACGTCACTGCCAATCCCCACTGGAGACGACTTACCTGGCTGCATGATGTGAGTGTTTTTAAATTTATTTTCCTTACAGTGTTTGTATAAAAAACATCAATGGAACTTATAAAATCAGAAAAAGGACACCAGCTCTTCGTGTCGAGGCACTAGGCATAGGTTCAACTGAGGATATTCCCTAACAAATTTTCAAAACACACTAAATTCAATTCAACACGATACATTTTTGAAGTTATCGAATGAGAAGCTTTCCAGAATATTTTCAGTGAATACTGGTTGACAGAAAAACGGCAGTATTTCGGTAAAATTGAAAGATGCAATGGCTAAATCCAACAGAAAATGAACTTTGTAGAGTCCAATGGAATTATGTTAAGAAATCCAGTCTATCGTGAGCCGTTCTCTACATAATCATAAAAAAAAAGTAGTCGATTCTGATTTTCGTGGGTGAAAAATTTTAACGTTGAACGGTTTCATTGAAAACACAATAATAATAGATAATAAACTAAAAATAATTCGGAAGGTCCTAGGTAGCAGGACCTTCCGACCACTCTTTTCAGCAATCTTGATTAATTGAAAAATATTAAAATCATTTTGCGTAGCGTAACCTGAGTATATATGTGAATACTATGACAAAAGACAACAGGAGCCTCGCAAGAAGGAAAAGCCGTCACAACCATTGCTTGCACTTCCCTACATCAGAGAATTATCGGTGAGAATATGAAGAATTGGACCCAAGTACAACATCAGGACCTGCTTCAGATCCGGAAACACTATCCGTAGCAGCTTCACGAAAACTAGGCCACCAAACGCGGACTGCGAGTCCAAGAATTGCATTCACCGGATACCCTGTGAGTTATGAAAATCCGATATCGGTGAAACTAAGAGGCCATTGAATGTTCGCATTGCAGAGCACAAGAAACACACAGCGAGGAGAAACCATGAATAGCAGAGCATGTTTGGACTCATCAACACAACATCAAAGTGGCCTCAAGCTGAAATCATCCACAAGCAGGAACACTGGTTTAGGAGAAAATTCAAAGGAGCCGCAAATATGTTATCCAACGACGCTTTTAGCCAAGCTAGTATAGAGATAAGTAATGTATGAAAAACCACCCATCAAGCGAAAAATGACCAACTCTCGCCAAACGGTCATCTCCCGCTAAACCAGTGAAGCGGTAAAAGGAAAGCGGAGATAAGTGGCAGTACTTGAATGACTCAAAAATAGTCATCTCTTGGAGGAATTAGTCCAGTCATCACACGAAGATGATTGCGGATTCTAACAATCGAAACCTCATGAAGTAACGTGGCTCGGAATCTCTTATTGTAATTTTTTTATTTCGATTTTTTGTTAAATTTTTCTATTTTTACTTATATTTCATTTCATCTCAGTTTTTTCGCTCAATATAATTGTTGTTTCAGCTATTCATTTTTAATTTTTCTCTTTCGGTTTTTTCAGGAATTTCAAATCATTTTATATAATATCAGGCAATGAAAGTCCGAACATCTGATCAATACCGTAGATTGCTGAGGAGAGTGCTGTGATGACTGCTACCTAGGACCTTCTGAATTGATATTCAGTACATTATCAACATCATTTTTATCGTTTTCCTCAATAAAACCGTATAATATACATTTTTTAATTCAATTCATTTTCAAATTTTTAATTTCTAATTTTATCCACCCCAATGCCACACAGTTTTTGACACGTTTTAACCTTCCACCCTAACTTGGGTGGTGTAGCGCTAACAACGTATAATTTTTAGCCACCCTAACGCCACACAGTCCTCGACACGATACAAAATCATAACTTCGCTGTGAGATCCATGCTCATATCCCGATTTTGAGTTGACAAAGTTCATTGTTTGGGTTACACTGGATTTGCATTTTTTTCATAGTGTCGTACTACCATAGTACTAGTAAAGTCCTGTCATTTGATACCCATAGTGAGGTAGTTGTGAAAAAATATGTGATTCGCCATTTTGTAGCAGCGGCAATCTTGAATTTGCATCCAACAGATTTTTCCAACATTAAACTTTGATCACCAAGTGATCATCTTCAAAATTATGCTTATTTATATAATAGATACCTCTCCTAGCTACCTGCGTCTCAAGTGATTTAAATCAGTTTCACAATATTGCCTTATCTACTAGTCTAAAATTAATTTTCCAATGTGTCCTTATGTAATAGTCAGGTGAAACTAATGATCAAAATATTGTTTTAATTTCAATAAGCTGTATTGTATAACATTACGTATTGGTCCTACATCGTTATCTCTCATAGGCACCTAGATGCCTGTTGCTGTTAACTTTTCTGATTTCAATTAACTGAATTCTATGGAATGGTTTTGTTGCAAAATATGATGGGTGACTGCTGATTTTCCAGGTCTTTCATATTTTAAGTGTGCTAAGTGTTCCTTATATCTCATTTCAAAGATCTTTTTGTTTGTCCTTACAGTCCTTACATTTAATTTCGTAAATTCCAGACTTCAACGAATTCTAGACTTTGTCTTTTGGATTTCCTTGAAGGTTCTGTAGTGTATTCCTTGTTTTAAAAACCACCTTCATACCTAATTCCTTGAAAATCTTTTCAAAGTTCAACAAGTCAACGAAGTAGAACCAGTCATACATGCAGAGCTTTTAGGAAATCTAAAAGACAAAGTCGAGAATTTGGAAAAGTCTGGAATTTACGAAATCAAATGTAAGTAAGGACTGCGATGCAGGTTGTAAGAATCAATATTTATTTGCATTGTAAAATATATTAGACTGTTCGAAATTAACTGCGACTCGGCCATGTAATAATGACGCCATCAATGAAATGAATAGACTAAGGAATATAACAAGCTAATTCTTCTATGAGGTATGCCAGAGGAGTAGGTACCTACCTATAGTTCATCCTAACTAACAATAATTTTTCCCGTTCCTTAAGTTTTTCTGTTGAAGGACTCTCCGTTTTATAGATGTACTTTCGCATTGAACGATAACTATCGATTGAAACTGAAAAATATAAAATAATGATAAAAAACTTTCAAAACAAGATTTTATTCAAGTGCCCTAAAAAGATCAAATGTAATTGAGTGATTTATATTGTAATATTATTCAGATTGGTATTGAAGAGGAAATGAGGTGAATGTCTTATTTCGAAAAATTTCTTTGTATGGATTAAAAAAACTTTTAAAACAAGCTTTTATTTAAGTGTCCCAAAAAGATCAAAATAAAATTTTAAATCACATTAACCACACTCATTTGTGACTTTACAGAATTCAAATTATAATTAAAGCTTGTCGCGATGCCTTGAAGAAATCTGTACATATTCAGTCAGATGAAATTTAAATTAAGAAACATTCTGACAAATCAACTAGGTACAGCAATAAATTTTAGCTTTCATTATAATTTCAATTCTGTAAAGTCATAAATGAATGTGGTTAATGTGATTTAAAATTTTAGTTTGATTTTTTTAGGGCACTTAAATAAAATACTTGTAACAAAAGTTTTATATCATTATTTTATTTCTATTCATTAGTTATTAACTGATTTTACTTTTCAATAGTCAGTATTATGCAGTTAGTTTTCGGGGTGAACCCTCCACACTCTGCTACACTTCTCAAAGAGTGAAAGGTTATACATTCAAAAAATAGTGAGAAGCACTGACTTCTTCACAAAAAAATGTCTTTGAATATCACATTACTCACTTTGTGTCCAAAATTCCCCTCCACAGTTCGTAAATAATCATTTGCTCGTACAAAATTATCAGATTTGTCAGATGTTCCTCTACAGAATTGTTCAAAAACAGGGTTACATGAACCAGAATTATAAATGAAATTATTTCCATTTCTAGATTTCGTTAGTATATAATCCGAATTGGCTTTACAGAATTCGTGAATCATGAAGAGAAAATTTTCAGAGAAAACCTTCACCAAATTCATATTGTATGATTTTTTGGCAATAATATTTCCGCTCTATACAGTGCGCATCATGCGTTTTACGCCCCCTATCTAACTCGTTACTGGGCTCGTATTAAGAAAATCACAGAGAAAAGTCGATTTTTTATTCTTAAAATGTACATTTGATAAATTTTGAGTATGAACATCCACCCCTAATTTCATCCCTTCGAGAAATTTAAATAGCATGGGGTGGTGAGTGATAGCTTATTTGATAGGGGGTTTTATTCTCTATCAAACCGTGGAAAGGAATTGAAATTTGCCACAATATGATTTATGAGTTATGATTGTTCAAAAATAACTACAATTAACGTAGCGCAATGACCCTTTGAATTTTTATCCGTAGTTTGCGCTGGTCAGGCCCTATACCCCGAAGCCCCGATACATTCGGGAGGGGGCATTAGCATTATCAACCAACGACCACTCCCCACACCGAACAAGAATGACAGCCTTCTGCATCTGTCCGGCTGAGATTTCTGCCTTAGTGAGGCAGGCCGTTATGATTTTAAGGTTCGAGAGGACTTCAATGATAAGAACAACCATCTTGACAGACTGATCTGGATAGAGTCTGCGGAGTTTGAAGAGAAAATCTAGGAATTATATCCGTTTCTCCTCCTCTTTTCGAACGATATCTATCCTAAATTAAAGAAAGGGAAGAGATCTGGTATATATCGAATAGAATGTGTTGAATGCCCCGCCATATATACAGGTCAAACTGGGAGAAATTTTGATACATGGTACCACAAACATGTCATTTCGGATAAAAAATCATTTATGTACGAACATCTTCAAAATTCGAAACATAAAATAGATAAAGATAATTTAAAGATCCTATATACATGCGAAAAAGGGAAAATGATGAATCTGTTGGAATCTATGGAAATAAACAGGTCAAAGAAAAATCCCAATTGTATTGTCCTTAACGAACTTGATTTAAATAATAGTCCTCTCCTGAACCTATAATCCAGATCCCAAAACCTACATTATATTGAAAGCTTTGTTATGTTCATGGATTTTACAGGTATGTGAAACGCAGGTACCGGGTATCAGGTATATCAAATCATTTATGATAGAATAAGCAACATAGGTATGAATTACTCAGATTTAAATG